CTGGAAGCAGCGCACCCTGAGTCACTGCTGGAGGAGAGCCACCAGGGGACAGCCGGACCCACATCGGACTGTCACGGAGCAGGGGAGGGACACAAGCCTGGCTAAGCCGCTGAGATTTACGGATTTGCCGACGTACATCATCTGATCGACCACACGCGCAGACCCGGACAGCGCTCTTTAATCCTGTTTGTCCCCTCACCTCCATGTGCCCTGTAGTCTGCAGCCTGCAGGCCTTTGCCACACTGTCCCCGCTATCTGGCGGCCCTTCCCTCAGTTGTTCCTCTCAAAGGATGACCCTTGATGGTTTAGCAGGGACTCTGCATTGAGCACGGAACTGTCGGGTCCCATCTCCTTCTCGCAGGGCCGGCCTGTCGCAGCCTCACCTTACAGACCCCAGAAATCCGGATCTGCATGGTGAGCCACTCGGCCACTCCCTGCCACCTCCAGGAGGGCGGGGCCTACAGCCATCCTTTCACTGCTGCAGCCCCAACCCCTAGCGGGCATCCAATGCATATCTTCAAACAAACGACCTGCAAATCTATGACCTCCAGCGTCAACTGGGCCCCCGCTGCTGCCTCCTGCTCTTCCATAAAGTTCCTTGATTACCTCCTAGAGGCTGGTTCAGCCTCCGCCACCCTACTCAAGGCTCTCAACAGTAACCTGGTGGATCCTCAGCCATGCGCACCCGAGTGGGTCAGACTGGTGGTCAGAGCTGGTGCCAGCCTGTATCACTTAATTTTAAAAGATGTTCTTGGAAAAGCAATAATAATAGTATTTCTTAAACACTATGCTAAGCACCTGCTCTCTGAACTCTGAATCCTCACACACCAGGCCACGAGGTGGACAATTTTATTATCCCACCTACAGGTTGAGAAACCAAAGACCAAGAGGCCAGAGCCGGAGGCCATGGACCAAGCAGAGGCGGAGGGGGCCCCGGCGCAGGTTCTTGCTTAATCTCAACAGAAGCCCTTGACTCCTCACTTGATGGAAAGAAAGAGGCGCATTAGAAGTGAGCACCTCCCCTTTCCACCCCTCCTGCCCAAGGCCCACCATGGCCATCAACTCCGGGTTGGGACCCTCCCATCGTTGTCACGGCAGCGCCTCTCACATCTGCCGCTCAGCCACCACCTGCCCTCCAGCACATACTGTTTCCAACACTCCCAGATTGTAAAAATGTGGGCCTCCCCTCGTCCTCAAACCCAGGGGCCTTTCTCCTTGCAGTGAGATGACCATGTCCCGCCCAGCCTCTCCTGATGCAGTGTCATCCACACCAGAGAATTGGTGGGACACTTGTTAGTATGCCAGATGTTTTTTGGAGGGGCAGTTTGGCAGCTGTGTCGCAGTTTAAAATGGGCCCCCAAAAGACCAGAAACATCCTACATGGCCAACAATAGGGGATTGATGGGGAAAATGATGGCATTCACACAAGGGAATACTATGCAGCCATGAAAAAGAACAGAGAACTTTTTGCCCTGGTATGAACTAGAGGAAAAGAGTAACCTACAGAATAAAGTAGGCTGAATAAGTTCTAGATCTGCAGTCCGACACAGAGCCCGTGGTCAGCAATACTCCACCGTACACATGAACTTCGGAGGGCAGACCTCATGTTAAGGGATCTTACCCCCCCCCACACACACACACACAAAAAGACCCAAAGGGACACAAGGAAACCTGGAGGTGACGTGCCCCCCACCTTGATTGTTGTGATGCTTCCATAGGGGTATATTTATGTCCAAATGCATCAAACTGTATGCATTGAGTACATGCTTTTTGTCTATCAGTTACACCTCCATAAAGCTGTTTTCAAAAAATAAAGTAGGCCGCCACCAGGGAGAGGAGCCAGAAAATGAATATATTTCTGTTTGCTTCCACCTGCTTGTACCTGTCTCTGAAAGGGCACGAGAAATGGGGAATTGACCTCCAGAGGGAGCTGGGAGAGACCATGCATTGGGGTGACTTTGGAACCTCAAGGTGCGAACCATAGGAAGCTTTTCTATATGCAAAAAATCAATTCCATTTTTAAAAAGTCAAGTAAAAATAAAATTGGCATACTCCTCAATTTTGAAATTTTGCTAAGAATGGATCCCACAGGAATGCCTGCATAAGTGAGCAAAACACACATATAAATAGGCATATGCTCATCCTCTGCATTTTTTTGTGCTGAGAAAGATTAGCCATGAGCCAACATCCATGCCCATCTTCCCTATTTTGTATGTAGGACACCGCCACAGCACAGCTGCCAGCAAGTGGTGTAGGTCCACGCCCTGGAACTGAAGCTGGGCCGCCAAAACAGAGCACGCCAAAATTAACCACTAGGCCACAGGGCTGGCCACTTGCAGCATTTTTGATAGTAATGAAAGCCTGCACAGCCCATAGTCTGCCCACTATGCCCACAGTGTGACAAGTGGCTTCAAAGATGGCCCCCGTGCCCCCACCTCCTGGTATTACATTCTTATGTTACCCCCTCAGCTCCAGTGTGGGCTGGACCTAGTGACTTGCTGTAAAGAACAAAATATGGCAGAAGTGATGGGCTATCACTTCTGTGACTGGGTTATGAAGAAGACTTTGGCTTCCATCTTGGGCACTCTCTTACTTCTAGAGAAGCCGGCAGCCACACTGGGAGCTGCCCTATGAGGAGGCCTACATGGCGAGAAACAGAGGGCAACTTCCAGCCAATGGCAAGCAAGGAACCGAGGCTGTGTCCAACCACTTGCAAGGAACCGAATCCCACCAGCAAGCACGTGAGCGAGCCTGGACGTGGGCCCTCCCCAGTCGAGCCTTCACATCACATGAGACTGCGGCCCCGGCCCACAGCTTGATGGCAACCTTGAGAGACCTTAAGCCCGAGGCATCCAGCTAAGCTGTGCCCAGAGCAACCGTGAGACAATAACGCTTGTTGTTTTAAGCCACTGAGTGGTGGGGTTTGTTACACATCCACAGATGGCTTATCCAGACTGGATGGTTGGTGCAATTGGAAATGTGTCCATTTAATAAAGTACCGAAGGCAACCGTTTCAAGACAGAGCCACACGGAAAGGACAATGTGGACGGATGGCCGTTACTTAAGTGAAAAAAGAAGCAAGATAAAGAACAACATAGAGAGACTGACCCCACTTAGGAAAAACACGAAACTATAAATGCGTCTGTAACTGCATGCACATAAATTCAAATGCCGGACTGACCTGCCTGCCTGCCTCTGGGGAGGAAAGTGGTTCTGCTCAGAGTGTGTTTTTGGGGTAAGAGAGGGGAGAGTGAGGTGTGGAAGGGTCCTTCACTTTTTATTCGACACACTTCAGTGCTTTTTCATTTTTATGAAACTGTAGTAACGTGTGTTAAGTCAAGACGTTTTTAAGATTAATTTTTTAAAACCCCAAGATGGTGGGAAAATATTAGTGAGTTTTAGGTACCTTGAGACATACACTCCCTGTTTGAAGGTGTCATTTTTCTTATAACTTTTCTTTATAGAGGTCGTAGGTGGGCATTTCCTCTCACCCAAGACAGGTTGGCAACTATTCATGTGTTTCGGCATTTTTTTCCTTAATTTTTTTTTTTCAATTATGTTCTGCCACTTTTGCCAGATCTGCTCCTTTGGGAGGATTCTCCTGAATTTCCCAGTCTTGCTTCCAGCTCTAGATGCACAGTCCAAAAGCAAATTGGTCAAAAATGAAATGTTTCCAACCAGTCACTCACCGATTACGACCCTCATGCTCGCTCTGGTGACTCAGACAAGCTGGCACGTTCAGCAGCAGGTCTGCCCACATTTTACCTCCTAAGGGTGGGTTTTGGCCACTGACGACAACAGTGGCTAATGGCAGCTCTCCTGTGTAGAGAACTGTGCCGGGCCAGCCACGTGCTCAATCCTGTGGGAAAGGCACTACCTGACAGATGGGGAAACTGCAGGAGCTGGAGTTTAAGGCCTCTAAGATTTTCACTATTTCTTCTACACCTAAGCAGCTTTCATAGTTCCTTGTGTGCAGAGAAAAACTTTCCAAAAAGATCTGCTGCTGGCATTGGCTGGTTTTAAGATGCATGTTAAGCACTGACGCCCACCGTCTTTATGGGATTGTGAACCGTGGAGGTGAGCTCTGTGTGTCTGGATCTTTTCTCACTCTCTGGGCATCCCGCTAAGCTCGGGCCGCCCGCTGCCTCACTTTGTGAATATGCCCCTGTGATTAGGTCATGACAAGTCCCTGGGGGTCATCTGATTGGGTGCTGAGGTCAAGAGGACCTCACTAGCCAGAGATGGCCAACCAGTGACTGGAAACATTTCTTTCTGATCAATTTGTCCTGGACCCAAACTCGTTTCCCTGCTGGGTGATTCCACCCCGGTGCAGACAGCACTGGCTGCCCTGGTCCCCTTCCCCTTGCAGCGCCCTTGGACGCAGTCCATCACTCTCTCCTCAAACACTCAGCTTCTAGAACACACTTGCCTGGTCCTCCTGTCTTCCAGCTCCCTGCCCCACCCTCACGCATGCGTCTTTCTCAGGGCTCTGTCCTTGTCCTCGCGTCTCCTCCTTCTTCTAGAGGTCACAAAATGGCGGCCCGGCAGCCTCATGAGACCCACAAGCGGATTTTGTTTGGTCCTCACAGTATTTGTGGTTTTTAATTTGAATGCCATCAGGCGGGGCAAGCACTCTCCAAGTTCGCCACAGTCCCCATCATTCCCTATTGTCTTACACCCGTCCGCTTCACACATTTCCATCACCTGCCTGGTCCCTGAAGCCATCTGAGTTTTCAAAAGCCCCGGCTACACATGCCGCTGGGGAAACCTCACACACTTTCCCTTCTTCGACTACCACGAGCATCTCCTACTCCATCTTTCGTTGGCATGAGAGTCACCTAGGAAGCTTGCTCCAAATGCCGATTCCCAGCCTCCCTCCCTCCCCCAGATTTGGCTCAACGGTCCTAGGACAGGATCAGAAACTCAAATGCTTACGGGAGCCAGGCGGGCCACATAAATGAGTGAACAAGCCAGGTATAAGAAAAGTCGACGGCCAGAAATATAATCAAATTGTATCTTTACTGAACTAGGGTGAATGCATGGAACAGAATACAAACATGTACGATACTGGAGTTCATATTTCAAATTCAAAATTGAAAAAATACAAATTGAAAAAATAGAGATATTTAGCTATGAAAATTTTCTCTGTCATAACTCTTTTGCCCCTTTGATTTGAAGTGGGAATGCCGACACCAGCCCTGCCGCCCCGAGCTGTCAGCGTCAGGCCTCGGATGTCACGGTGGGATGGGCAGCTTAGAATTCAACTTGGAATCCTGAACCCGGGGGCGGGATGTAACTTGACTCAGTTTGGTAACAGAAAACAGCTGTTCACAAGCCTGGGGACTTGCAAATGCGGAGATTCGGGACAACTACTGGAGGGAGCCGTAGGGTCGGGGTCTCCCAACAGAATCACATTTAGGAACCAGCACCCTATGGCACTGCGGTGCAGGAACTACCGTTTGGGGTCTGCATTCACACGATCGACGTCAACCAACAGAGCCAAACTGGACAGTGTTCGTTTGTTTTCATCAAGTCTGGATGCAGGGAGCTCCAGGGGCGTTTGGTCTTCAACTCCAACCGACCAACTTGCATTAAGACGGTCCGGGCCGTCTCTTGCATTTCAGGAAACCAACTGCAGCCAAAGGAGTCAGATTATTTCTTGCCAACGGCTCCCCCATTTTTGCCGGGACTGGGCAAACACGATCATACATTCAAGGAGCTGTTTGCGAACATCCTTGTGGAGAAACTGTGGTGAGAAGGGTCGTAACCTTGACCAGAACTCTTTGACTGACCTTCTCAGAGGAACCAAGGGGTGGCTTTGGCTTCGTTTGAAATGAACCCAATAGATTGATTTCCACAGTTCAGGTTTCTTTCACACCATCGTGTGATGACCAGGTCACGGAACTTCTGTAAATTACATCGGGTCAAATTCACCCTCAACTCGCCCGTGGTCCAAGTGCAGGGGTGTGTCGAGGACGGCCAAGTGTGTTCCATTTCGCTTCTTAGCATGATTCTTGGTGGCTGATGCAATGACCTGACTTGTGCGTCCTTGCCAAAGGTTGCCACCTTGGATCGAGTGTCCTGATCCATCCCCGTGTGACACAGACCATTAGTTTACCACAACTGTCTGCAGCTGTGCTTAGGAATTCTGACCAGTCGACATGAAACTTCTCGTTTCTCTTAATACACAAAAAATAAGTCATTTCTCAGTGTTGGGCCTGCCTTGGCGCACCGTGTCACAGACGTCTTCGGTCACCTCCAAATTCTCAACACCACAAATAAATAAAGCTAACAGGGTGGTCAGAGTTCATGAGCAGCGATCGAAAAGGCCACAACTGATTCGACTCTTTCGAGCAACTGGGCTCGCAAACCTTCTCGTTTATCTTCGACGCGCCGCGCAAGGCAAACGCCCGTTACACGGAAATAACGGTCTAGCAGGCTGCATTTCTGTGCAGGACCCGTCATTCTGCTCCTTTCAAACTCGCTGTCTGCAGAAGGGTTTCATGCCCGGGTAGTTCTTTCCACGTTATTCTGGAACTGTGTACCGCAGCCTCGCCATTTCTGTTATTTGCTTTCTTTCCGAAGCAAACCTACTGACACTTGAGGCCCTTTTTCAGTTCGTTGAGTATCGCCTCTCGTGTCTGCTCCGTGTACTGGTCGAAGCTCTTACTATGCTTGGATTCGTAATGACGTCTCAGGTTGTATTCTTTCAACACAGACACGATTTTTTTGCATATTAAACACGTTGGCATGCTCTTCACTTCCACAAAGAAATAGGCTCGCTCCCACTTTTCTCGAAACACGTGGCCCTCTCGTTCTCTCTTGCGTTTTGCCGCTTTTGACAGAGACATGGGTACAAGAAAGATTTCACTTGCCTCTGAATGCTACCGCAGACAGGAACAAGCACAGGGCAAGCCCGTGACAACGGCAATGACCCTCTGCCTCACAGTGGGGGAGCCGAGAGGGAGTGGTGCGGACTGTGGCGAACCAGAGAGCACACGCCCCGTGGAGGGGCAGCTCCAGCCCATTGTGGCCAGGCAGAAGGGTGGGCCCAGGGTGCCAGATCTTCTGACTTGTCAAGAGAAGCCAAGACTGCAGATTGTATGTGTGTGTGTGTGTGTGTGCGCACGAATTATCCTGATTTTTACTACTAACTTGACAGAAAAAAATGCCACATATGCTAACACAGGGAAGGCCAAACAAAAGTCATCTGTAGAGTGGCCCACGGGCCACCAGATTGCAACCTCTCTCCTGGGACAGGGCCCAGGATCTAATGTTAACCAGCGTCCCAAACAACGCAGATGCTGGTGGTCCAGGCGTGGACCACACTCCGGAAACGCTCGTCTAGGGTCTGACAACAGACAACAACTCTGCCTCCAGGCCAGACCGCCCCTGCACGCAGACCCCCCCGGCTTACCCGGCTGCCCCGGGGACATCTCTCTGAGGACATCCTTCCGGTCTCTCGCCACGCCACATGCCAAACCTGTTCCCTGCTGGATTCTCATCTTGGGGACAGCCCCACTGTCAACCCTATCCAAGCCCCAGATGGCCAGTCTCTGACTGGGACCGGGGGCTTACCCTCTCACCACGTGAGAGCTCGTCCTCTCCTGCGGCCTCAACCACCAAATGTCCACTGTCCCCTAAGGACACGTCCTGTCCACACGTCATGTGGACAGCCCTCTGATCATTAACACTCACTGCTGGTTCCTTCTCCCAGTTCCCCACCAGCTACAGCACCCAGGCCAGGTCCTCTGGACAGACCTCAGTGCCCCACCCACCACTAATTCCTTCATGTGGCATGCCAGTCCCCAGCCTCACCCCTCCTGCCCCGGACTCTGCCCGACCCCTCCTCTGGCTTCCCCTCTCTCCAGGACCATCACCCCAGCCTCCTTCCTGCCTTCCTGTCTCGCCCCATCACACACCATAGCCCAGAGGGGTCTTTGTGACACCCAGCCCACTGAGGCGCCCCCTGCTCCTGCCTCCTGGCTCTTTGGCGTCCCCAGGACAAACCTTGAGCCGCCTGCTTCGGAACCTGAGCGCCCTCCCGACTCGGCGCCTGCCCACCTCTCTAACCGCTCCCTCCCTCACGCTCACGCTCCAGAAGCATCGATGGCTTGCTCCTCTGAACACCCCAAGCTTTCTCCTGCCTTCGAGCATCCGTTTGTGCTGTCTCCACAGCCTAGACTGCCACTCGCCCCCTGCTTCTCCTCCGAGGCTCTGCTGGGCCCGGCTGGCACCATCTCTAGCCCCAGGAGAGCCCGCGGTCCTGTGAGCTCTGCCTGCCTGCCTCCTTGTCGGCCCCGAGCCAGGCGCACCGGACTGCCTGCCTCACTGCCGAGGCCCTGGCGCCACCAGCCCGGGGCCTCAGGGATGTCTGCTGAAGCGGGAACAAGGACAGAGATGTCTCCCCGCCTTGGTCGCCTCCTGCCCAGTCCTGGGGACGTCAGTGACGGGAGCCGGGGCATGTGTTAAAAGGAACTTTATTGGGTGTCGGGGGTTCAGATGAGGTCCATGAGGATGTCGTCCTCCATGACGCTGGGCTGCAGGCCCGGCTGGGGGACCGGGCCTCGGGGACCCCCGCTCAGCAGCATCTGACCTGGGGGGCAGTGGGGAAGGGACTGCATCTCCCAGTAGTCCCTGGGGCCCTGGAGGGCCCTGGGCCTGCTTCCTCCCTCCTCCTCTGGGAGCCCAAGTCCTGAGTTCTCCAGGAAGCCTTGGGGGGACCCATCGAAGGCGCCTTCTGACCCCATCTGGTAACAAATATGTTTCCCACGAGCCTTTGGGAGCCCATCCCCCAAAACACCTCTCTGGCTCTAAGACCATGTTTCCCAGAAACCCCAAAGGGATGCCAGAGGGGAGCCAGGGGGACAGCTCTCGCCCCCTAAGTCCTTGGTCCCCTGGGCTGTATGTGCCTCAGAACCCCCAAGAGCCACGGGGAACCCGCTATTCTCGAATCCCAGAACTTCACCTCCCAGGAGCCCTTGGTCTCGGCGCTCCAGCCCCAGGGCTGCTGGGACACTCGGTCCAGACCCCGGCCTCCCCCGGGCCCCCTTACCTGGCAGTGGAGCCCGTGGGGGAAGCTGTGCAGGCCAGGACTGGGCGGGAGGCGGGTGCAGGAGCGGGGGCCCCAGCTGGGGCTGCCCCAGGCCCTGGTGTGGTGGGGGCAGCAGTGCAGGCGCCCCTGGCGGTTGGAGGTGGTGGAGGGAGGCCTGGGGTGGGGGCACCCCGGTCTGCGGCTGGGGGAACAAAGACAGCAGCTCAGAGGCCCCCAGCAGAGAGCCCACCCCACCGTGCAGCCTCTGGCACAAAAGCTGCTCAGAGAAACCTGATCCAGGGGCTTGCCGGGGTCTTTCTTAAAGGAATCTTAGCAGAAGCCCACAAAAACCTCAGAGGAGCCGGCGGGCCTGGAGCCCTCAGCGGGGCTCTACTCACACCCGCTGATCAAGCCAACCTCCCTCCTCCGAGACGGAAGAACACACCGTCAGGGCGAGGGGCCCACGCTCCCACGCCCCCAGCTCACCGGCGGTGGGTTGAGGAGGAGGCTCCGCAGCTGGGGGTTGGCCCCGGGGTTCTGGGGCCGGAGGATGGGTCCAGGAGGGGGCGGGCCGGGGGCCGCTCCAGGAGGGCCTTGGGGGGCCCCAGGGGGGGCCTGGGCAGCACCTTGGGGCTGGGGCTGCCCGGTGGCCGCAGAAGCTCCCACAGTGCCCTGAGGCTGGGGCTGTGGTGGGCGGAGCTGGAGCTGGTGGGAAGAGACGGGGGTGAGGGACACGGCCCCCGGGCCCCTCGGCCTCCAGGGTCGGGTCAGAACGACAGTGTCCTCGGGGCCTCCCCTGCCCCCGACCCCACTGGCCCTGAACTCACCAGGTTCTGCGAGGGCCTCGCCTGGTCCTCCAGAATGGGGCCCAGGCCTGGAGGCGCCTGCTGTGCCCCCATCTGTGTGGGGAGAAAGGGAACAGGTCAGTGACTGGTGGGGGTTCCCCACGTCGGGGAGGGTCTGAGCCCTGAAGGGGAACCTGTAGGGAGCTGGAAAGGTTTTCTTTGTGGAGTGGAGGGTCTGGGAAGTAAACTTTACATTCCCAGTTCCCAAGAGGAGCTGTGTCTTGGATATTCGACGAGGACACTGAAAAGGGAGAGAAACGTTGCGAGAAAATATACAGATAGGCCTGAACGGGGCAGGGGCCACATCAGGAGACGAGTAGGCCCTGGCACTGGAGCCCCATGGGGACCCTGGGGGGTTTGGCAGGGAGCTCTGGGGCCCAGGTAGGCGGGGTGGGGGGGCGGCATCACTCACCCCCCGCTGCTGCTCCAGCTTTTGCTGCTGGACTTGCTTGTGGTTGGTGATGACCTGCCGGATGCCGTTGACAAAGCCGCTCTGGTCGTAGGGAATGAGGCCCATGAAGATCTTCTTCTTGGACGAGTACAGCAGCATGAGCACGCGCACCTCGCACGGGGCCGTGTGGGGGAAGTGCACGCAGCCCGCCTGGCAGGGAGAGAATCAGAACCAGTCATATCCTGGAGGAGGAGGGATCTCACCCCCTCCTGGTTCTAGAAGGTTCTAGAAGCCCGAAAGCAAGGGGTAGCACGGTTTCTGCTGTAAAAGGTTGAGGAGACTAGAGGTTTGCTTGAGGCTGCTCCAGAGACAGAAACTGAGGGGCTCAGAGGAGAGCTGGGTGCCCAAAGGGACACAGCGAGGCCGGGATTCTTGCTGACTGCCAGGAGGGAGAGGGGAGGAAGCGCCCCAGACAGAGGGCTGGGTCCCAGCTCTCTGACCTTGACCCACCACCCCCGCCCCGTGGGCTGCCCTCCTCAAGGGCCCCTGGGAGGGTCCATGGCTGAGAGGAGGGGCCTCCCTCCAGAGCTGGCACCGGAAGCGCATGAGCAATGGTGGTGGCAGACACCATGACTGAACCCCGTTCCATTTAGGGGAGTGACGTGTCCAGGCCCCAGTGCACTCGTGGGCGCCTGCTCCCCTGCAGCCTCCTGTGCAACCAGGGAGGCCCAGTGGCCAGGGTCTGGCCCAGGAGATGTGGGAAAAGCGTGCCCAGGGGGTGGGAAAGTGCTTTCCTAAAGAACGAGAACATGTGGCTGATGCCACGCCTCCCCCTCGCCTTCCCCCATCCAGTTATGCAAGACTCCTTGAGCTTCCAGAGCTGTCTTGTGCCCACGAGAAAGATGCCGAGAGAACCACAGAGATCCTGGCCTGACGTCAGGGGACTACAGAACTAACCCCGATAGCTGCCCCCCTCTGGACGTCCTGTTCTGTGTCAAAAATAAAGGCCTGCTCGTTGAATGCTCGCTTTTGGGGCGTCCTTCTCAGAACCCAGGATGCCATGATGTGAGGAAGTCCAAGCCACACGGGGAGGCCATATGGGGGCACTCTGATGGATGGGCCTGCTAAGCCTCCCAGGGACAGCCGGCACCATGCGGGGGCCACCCTGAATCTCGAGCCCAGCTGTCAGGTGGGCACGGTCTCAGGCACCCTCTGACAGCAACCGCTAGAGATCTGCTCCTATTTAGAGAGGCCTCCATTGGGGCAGGCCCAGTTGCGCAGCGGTTAAGTGCGCACGTTCCACGTCGATGGTCTGGGGTTTGCCGGTGTGGATCCCAGATGCAGACCTACACACCCCTTGGCATGCCATGCTGTGGCAGCGTCCCACGTATAAAGTAGAAGGAGATGGGCACAGATGTTAGCTCAGGGCCAGTCTTCCTCAGCAAAAAGAGGAGGATTGGCAGCAGATGTTAGCTCAGGGCTAATCTTCCTCAAAAATAAAATAAAATAAAGTCTTTAAATAAATAAATAAAAATAAAGTCTTAGAGAGGCCTCCCTCAGTGCTGTGGGTTGAACTGTGTCCTCCAAGAAGACACGGTAAGGTTCCAACTCTTGGCACCTGTGAACGTGACCTTATTTGGAAATAGGGACTTTGCAGATGTGACAAGGTAAGAGGAGGCCATTAGAGCGGGCGCTCATCCGAATGACTGGAGACCTTATAAGGACTCAGGGACAAACACAGGGCGGCGAACGCCACGTGAAGACACAGACAAAGAGAGGACAGCCACGTGCAGGTGGAGGCAGAGATGGGAGTTTGGCTGCCTGATGTCAAGCACGCTTGGGGCTACCAGCTGCAGGAAGAGACGCAGGGTCCTCCCCAGAACCCACGGAGGGGGCAGGCCCTGCCGACACCCTGACTTCAGACTGTCAGTTTCCAGAACTGAGAGAATAAACTTGTCGTTCTCAGCCCCAGGACACCAATACGCCCGGTAACCCGACGGACCCAACGGCTTCCTCCTGACAGCTCCTGTCACACCCTGTCCCATTTTTAACGCATTTTTAGCTCACAAAGCCCACCCAACCATTACGGATGGCTCCCTCGGGCCCAGAGGACAGAGGGGCAGCACCCCAGGGCCCCACGCAGCCCGGACTCACGAAGCCGTTGCCCATGATGCGATAGAGGCCTTTGAGGGACTCTAGGTCCTTGTTGGTGAAGTGGAACTGGACCATCCTTGAGTTCCGGAACAACGGGCCCAGCGTGGTCTGGGGGAGACACAGGCCAGCCAGCGCGTTGGGTAGGGAAGCGAGGAGGGGAGACAGGAGGTGGGAGGGGGCAGGGCAGGGATGAGGCAGGAGAGAAGGGGCAGGGCGCCTGGCAGGGGTCGCGGTCCTCCGCCTGCCACTCACCAGCAGCTGCTGCGGGATGAGCTGCATGATCAGCTTCTGGGGCCACTGCTCGGTCTTCCTGCGGGCGGTGCCGGGAGAGGTGTCAGGAGGGCGCACGCCCCAGCCCACCCCGCCCCCGAGCGCCACCTACAGGTTCTCGCCGTGGTTCACGTAGACCTGGCAGGGCAGTGAGCGCGTCAGCTTGGTGTTGGCGTCCACGGAGGCGGGTTTGGGCTTCTGAGCGGCAAGAAGGGCGAGTCGCAGTGAGAAGGGCTCCAAGCTTCAGGCCCCCCGCCCCATCCTCTCGTGGGGGCCCCAAAGCTCAGAATGGCCCTCAGTTCAAGTCTCACGAGCCCTGGGCCCCTCCTCCAGACCATCAATCCCGCAATCCTCTAGCCTTCCAGTTCCACAAATGTGGGGGCTCCTCCTCTAGCCCTCTGTCCCCCAGAGGCCATAATCCCCTGGGCCCGTTTTACCCAGGATCCGAGGGTTCTCTCGGCTCTTCACCTGCAACACAGTTCTTACTACCTCCCCAGTCCTGAACTACAAATCCCACACTTCCTTGGGACTATCCTCAGGACCACGAGTCCCATGAGCCCCTGGAGCACTGGCCTCACCCCGCACCCTGCCAGTCCGGCCCTATGAGATCCACGTGCCCAGAGGCTCCTCAAGCCACTCACCTCCTGCCACTCGAGGACTCCGCTCCAGGCCAGGACTTTGTTGGAGACTGACTGCTGCCCACCGAGGGCTGGGGCGCCCAGCTGGGCCGGGGAAGGGCCGCTCACCCCACCTGGGGCTACCGTGCCCGCCTGCCGGGGGAGGAAGGAGGGCAAGGAGCAGGGTCAGAGCATCTCCCAGGAGGGGCTGTCCTGAGAGAGGGACAGACCAGCAAGAATGGGACGAAGCTCCCTTCCTCTGCACACCCTCCTGAGGACACCGCTCAGCTGTCCCTGGGACCACCAACACTCTGACCCTGTAGGATTAGGGACGCTCAGTGCCAGGATGGCCTGGCCTCCCAGGACCTCTCGGGCTCCCAAAAACAGTCTTCACCCCGCCAAAGCCGCCAGGCCCAGGACTCCATCCACAGACCCAGGAGTCTATGCGTGTTCTGTAGCATGAGCCCCGTGAGCCCCAAGGGCTCAGACCCACAAGCCCCACATGCCCTTGGCCCCTCAGGAAGGCAAACCGCGTGTCCGCAGCACTGTTAGCCCCGGGCAACCTGGAGGAGGGAGCGGGCGTGCAGACACCTACCATGGAGGGGGCCCCAGGCTGTGCAGCAGGAGCCAGGCCTGGGCCAGGGGCCACCGTGGAGACCAGGCTGGGCTGAGAAGCAGGGGGCGGCTTGGGGGCACCAGGGGGCCCTGGGGGCAGCGGGGGGGCTGGGGTCTGGCTGAAGGGGGGACCCACTCCGGGAGCGGCTTGCTGGAGAGGGTTGATGGGCGAGACTGTGGGAAAGAGCAGAGGAAGAGGTGGGGCACAGGTGTGGACGGAGGCCAGGCCGCCCCCGCCCGCCCCGCAGCCTCGCCCCAGGACTCACAGCGTGGGCCCAGCCCAGCCTTCTGGTTCTTGGCAGCCTCCACCGCGTTCTGGGCGGCCACTTGAGCTGCGCTCAGGTTCCCAGGGACCTGGGGACAGAGGTGCGAGACTGGTGAGGACCACACACCTCCGTCCTGGTGTCCCATGGGGGTCACACCGCCCACGCCTGCACAAGGCACAGCTGCCCCAGCTCCAATGTCGAGGAAGCTGTTGACTCCCACCACTCCCCGCGGATGTGATCTCCCAAGGGTCCCCCACCCCGTCCCAACATCCCAAAGGAGACTCCCGTCACCCTCCAGGCCCCAACTTCCAACTACACCTCTCCCAAGGGACCAAGGCCCCCCCATGCCCCAGGGGCGTGTCCCCTTCCTGCGGACGTCCATACCTGATACTGCTGGGGGACGGGGGGCAGAGGCTGCTGGGGGGCTGCTGACAGTGTGGCACCTGAGGGTGGAGCCGGAGGAAGGGGGACGGGCTGCTTCGCCTGGAGGGGGCCTGGGGCCGAGCCGCCCCCAACTGCGAGCCAAGGACAGATGACCGAGCCCGAGAGAAGGGGTGTGATGGGGAGAGAGGAGAAGGAACATCAAGTGAGGGGGAGCCGGGAGGACGCCTCCCGTCGCCCCACCGATGCCCGGGCCTCACCGGGCAGCACGAGCCCCCGCACCAGCACCATGTGCCGCGGGTCCTGGCTCACGTCTGTTGGTGGCTGCAGCGGCTCCAGCATGGCTGGGGGAGCCGCCTTTTCGAACAAGAGCCGCAGGGCGGGCAGCTTCCGGGGAGACACGATGGAGAAGTGGATGCCTTGCTGAAGGAGGGGAACGAGCCGTCAGGACAAGGCTGCAGGTGCCAACCCAGACCCCAAAACCAAATCCCCATCAGGCTTGGGAACAGGGAACCACAAGACCTGTAACAGCCACCCCAGGGGATTCTGGGTTATAGCTCTTCCAACAAAAGTAAGCAGAGCTGACCAAACAATTTGTCACTATTCTGTGACCCAGGAATACAGTTCTAGCCCCTCCTCCCTCAGACCCAGGAGTCCAGCCCCAGCCCCTCCTCCCTCAGACCCAGGAGTCCAGCCCCAGCCCCTCCTCCCTCAGACCCAGGAGTGCAACCCCCAGCCCCTCCTCCCTCAGACCCAGGGGTCCAGCCCCAGCCCCTCCTCCCTCAGACCCAGGAGTCCAGTCCCAGCCCCTCCTCCCTCAGACCCAGGAGTCCAGTCCCAGCCTCTCCTCCCTCAGACCCGGGGGTCCTCACCTCCCCAATCTTCTGCACGAGACTCTCCGTCGTGTACCCAGAGTACGTGGTGCTCTCGACAGCGGGAAGCAGGTACGGGGGCGAGTTACAGATAAGGAGGCAGACGCGGTGTGTCTGGCCGCTGCCAGGGACAAGGACAGATGTGGAGCAGGCAGCCACAGGGGCCCTGAGAAGGGACGGAGACCCCGCAGCAGCAGAGGTCCAAGAACTCTGCCCGCCAGGATGCCAGGAGGAACACCCCCATTTTACAGCCAAGATCCCTGAAGCTCGGAGAGGGTCCTGATACGCTCTAAGTCACCCAGCAGGCAGGGGAGGCAGGAGGCAGGCTTGGAGCTGGCTCCCCTTCCCGCTGAGGACACTGAGGCCAGGGGACACCTGCCTCCCGGCCCCGAGTGCTGGCACACACGGCCCACCCGCTCCCCAGCGTGGACGGAGCCGGACAGGCCCGCCCAGATGCACTCACATCTGCTCACGCATCTTCTTGAAGTCGTCGAACAGCTGCAGGGCCGTGCTGAGGCCTTCGGCAATGAGGCTGCAGCTCTCGCCGCCCCCGCCCATGAACCTGCGGGGCGAGGAGGTCAGCCCCCAGGGGCCCCTGCGGAGCCCAGGGCTGCCACCCCTCAGCCCCCAGCACACACTTGAGCCTGTCCCTGTGCCGTCCCCTCCCCCACTGGACTGTGCACCTTGGGACAACAGGGACATGGTTGAGTTCCCTGCGCTATTCCCAGTGCTGGCACAGCGCCAGGCCCAGAGAACGAGGACAGGGGACATTCATCTCCTGCAAGGAAGTCCCTCTGGCAAGAGGCCCCATCGGAGGATGGAACAGAGAAAGGACCCAAGACACCACGCAGGGAATCCCATGCTATGTCGCAATCCCTGTGCGCCTCCCCTCTCTGGGCCTTCTGCTCCATCTTTAAAGCCAGCACTGGCCTCTACACCTTCCCAGTCCGGGACGGAGGCCTCTTCTGTCCTCCTGCAATGTTACAGGTGAACTGTGTCCCTTCAAAAAGACAAGTTCAAGTTCTAACCTGCAGTTCTCCAGGATGGGACCCTATTGGGAAACAGGTCTTGGCAGATGAGCCAGTTACGAGGAGGGCCTGCTGAAGGAGGGTGGGCCCTAATCCACTACGCCCCGTGTCCTTACAAAAAGGGAGAACTGGGACACAGACAGGCTCAGAGGGAAGACGAGGTGGCAAGACACAGGGCAAAGACCATGTGGAGATCGGGGTGACGCTGCCACAAGCCAAGGAACATGTGGGGGGACCAGGAGCTGGAAGAGGCGGCGAGGACCCGCATACCGGATCCAGAGGGAGCTCGGCCCTGCCCACACTGTGATCTGGGACTCCTGGGGCCAGAACTGTGAGACACCAAGCTCCTCCTGTTCTAAGCCACCCAGTTTCCAGTACGGTATTGCGGACACCCGACAGAACTATCACACACACAGACTCGGGTGCCTCCTCCCCCGATCTACAGATGGGTCCCCGGCGTCCGTGCCCCGGGGCGTGGGGAAGGCCCTGCTGGACTGCAGCTGTGGCTTCTTCAGGTCACGTGGTCCTGAGGCCGACCCTTTGCCCCAGGGGACTTTGTGCAGACTGGGCCCTGCCAGACTGCCCTGTGGCCCCTGTGTTCGTGTCAGTACCCATCTCCCCCCACAAAGAGGGACAGGGTCTGAGGCCTCTCTTGCCCCCAGCCCCGCCCCCCACAGTCTGGCGAGAGGGAGACCTTGGGAAATAAACAAATGAGTGTTAAATAAACAAATGGCTGCAAGTCCATCGAGGCCAGAGTAACACCAAGCCCTCAGCTGGGCATCCGGGGCCCTCTGTACCCTCCCACTCCATCCCTCTCTGGCTGCAAATCCTCTGGAACATCTCGAGTGTCCCTGCTCTCCGTGACCTGCCACACGCCCAGGCCTCTGCCTGTGCCGTCCGCCCCATGACCACAAACGCCCTTCTTCTCGCCTGGGTGGAAACCCTGCCTATCTACCATGACTGCCAGCCCAGAGTCATCCTCCTCCAGGAAGCCTTCCCCACCTGCCACCTGATTTTAGGCCCCACCCTCGATCACATCACGTCACCGACACTGTGACTGTCAAGCTTCCCTTCACAGCTCACTTTCCCGCCCCAGGGCCGGTGCAGCCCTCAGGGAGGGAGACCAAGCGGTCTGAGCCACCTCTCGGCTGTGGCCGAGGACACGCAGGGCCTCAGGAAGTGCCTGCTGAATAAGTGAGCCACCAGCAGCCTGGCCGAGAGCCCCGATGCCGACCCCTTCAGTCCGTCCCCAGCTCTTTCCAGTTGTGGGCTTCCGGCCCTCTGCCTGTGTGCTCGCTGCCCCTTCCCCTCCTCTCTGAGGGCACGGAGCCCACACCCCTGCTCCCTACCACTGCCCCCTTCCTAGAACTCCTCTCCCCCTGCACAGGCATCTTCACACCCCAGAGTCGGGGCAGGCCCCATGAATGAACCAACCCTGGACCCCCCGACTGCCAGCTCCCTGTTCTGGAAAAAATCGAACCACTATCTTCATGGCTGGGGCTTGGGGACAGGGCTGTGGGGGTGGGGCAGAGACAGGGAGCAAGTGCTTCACACGCACAGGGTCTCCTTTTAGGGTGATGGGAATGTTCTGGAACCAGATAGAAGTGAGAGTTGCACAACACCATGAATGCACTAAATGCCACTGAATTGTCCGCTTTAAAATCATTACTCTTGCTATGCGAATTTCACCCCAATATTGGAAAAGTAATTTACGAGAGAAAGGGATCAATTAACTACTTTGAGATCCTAAAATGTGCTTTTTTCTTATTGAACGTTGAGCGTAAGCCATCTGTTATGAGCTCAGAGACATGTAACAAAATTTTGTCCAAGAAATGAGAAAAACTTGAAAATGGGAAGCAGGAAAAAAAAGGGCGACCTGTAAAATATGTTTTGGATATCATCAAGTTTATGAGAAACCTTAATTCCCAATAAACCCGTCGATGTTGTCAACACACAGTAACATACAAATGACACGGAAGGGCCCTGGGTGATCCTGGTGGGCTGTGACTCCTGGGGGTCCTCGGCCTCTCAGCCTCCCCACATCACCCCCTTGAGTCTCCACCACCCACTTTCACAAGCTAATGGCTCCCTGAAGGCCCCGGAAGGGAGTAGTCAAAACGGACAACAGTTACAGCAGCCGGTGCCCCACCCAGCCTGTCGCCCTCCACAAACACCAGCTCCAAGAGGGCCGAGACCTTGCCCATCCCCTGTCCCGGCTCCTCAGGACCTTTGGACAGTTTGCTCCACAAATGTTTGCTGAATGAATGAGTGAATGACGAGTGGACCGTCACATGCCGCAGGGCAGACACTCGGGGCTGTCTTCCTTCTGTCTCCCTCCTGTCGGATTCTGGGGCTCTAGCTGTAGGAGAGGAAGACAAAACCGCCTCTCTGGGAAGAAAGGGAACGTAGCCTCAGAAACGAATCTTCCCGAAGCAAGGATGTTTCAAACACACCGCATGCTTTGTTCTGAAATCAGGTCGGCCCGGGAGAAGATAAGGTTTCTCCAAGTGTGAACAGAACTTGCTGACTTCGTTTGTGATCTGCCACAGGCTGCCCAGAATGTCACAGAAGCTGAATTTAAATGGTTACTTAGACCTGATAAACGACTATGAGTGCTAAATAATGGCTTCAATGTTTATCGTCTGGTGGGGAGGATTCTGAAGGGCGGGCACGGCAGACAGAGCTTTTCCATCTGGGTAAAGGTACAGTGTATTCTAGGCCGACTGGGGGGAAGGAACCCCACATGGGATGCGAGGATTCAAAAGCACTTCCCTCTTATCTTCCTAGTGCCCTGGAAAGTTTTATTTTATTTATTTATTTATTTATTTTTGAGGAACATTATCCCTGAGCTAACTATTGTCAATCCTCCTCTTTTTGCTGAGGAAGACTGGCCCTGAGCTAACATCTGTGCCCATCTTCCTCTACTTTATATGTGGGACGCCTCCCACAGCATGGCGTGCCAAGCAGTGCCATGTCCACACCCGGGATCCGAACCGGCAAACCCCAGGCCACTGAGCTGCAGAACGTGCGAACTTAACCGCTGCACCACTGGGCTAGCCCCTGCCCTGGAAAGTTTTAAATAACGTGGTTTGACTGCCTTTCCTGACACCCAATCACCCACCAGGTCGTCTGGTTTCTTGGTGATTATCTTCCCCACAGCTTTCACTCATTCATCTCCTCAGCCAGGGTCTCCTGGGGCCTCCTGGGTGCCAGGCCCCATCTGGAGGCAAACGGCAGGAGAAACACGCAGGGTCCTGGCCATTCACAGTCCAGAGGGTGTGGGGCTGTGACAGGGGAACACCTGGGAGTAACGGGGGCAGAGGAGGGAGCAAGTGGCTGCTTGCCAGAATCAGGGAAGGGCCATTTAAGTTGGGCCTTGAAGCTTACACAGGAGTTTACCAGGGAGAATGAGGACATGAAGAGCATTCTGAGCATTCATTCACTTACTCATTCAACAGAGTTTTCCTTAGGCCCCCTTGGTGCCAGGCCCTGTGCTGGGTGCTAGGGACTTGAGAGACGTCAGACTTGGACTCAAGCCTCAAAGAGCCCCTACGTCACATTATTTAAGTCATATCACAATTTATCCCAGCGATTCTCAACGGGGTGGATTCTGCCCCCCCAGGGGACGTCTGACAACGTCCACAGATATTTTTGTTTGTCACACCTTGGGAAGGAAGTGGCTACCGGCAGCTGGTGGGCAGAGGCCAGGGCTGCTAGTAAAAATCCTGCAACGCACAGGACAGTCCCCAAAACGGGGAATTATTTGGCCCAAAGTGTCAACAGTGCTGAGGCTGAGAAACTCTGCTCCATCCTGAGTAGTAATGCTAACGACCACGAGGGGGGTCAACTTTCCACCAACTGTTCAGCACCCCGTCCAGCTCACACAGCCTGGGACCAAAGGCCTTCGGATATTCGCTGAACGAATGTCGGAAGATAGTGGTATCCCATGAACTGGTGCCAGTTAATGAACTCCGACCAGAGGTCAGACCCTGAGGGACACACGACACATGGTATGAAATCAGCTCCTGGGATCCTCCCACGAGGGTTACCACCCACAAACCCAGAAACCGAGACATAATAGGAGCGAACACCAAGGGAGTACTTAACACCCGCCAGGCACTGTTGTAAACAGTCAACAACTCACTTAGCTCCCAAAGGAACCCTATGAAGTCACGGTAACCAGGCCCCCAACGATCCCGCCTCCCGGCACAAAACCCATCCAAACACCGAACACGACTGACTTGTGGACTAAACAGAACGCGCCAGAAGTGACAGTGTGACACTTCTGGGATCTGATCATCAAAGGCCCTGGGGCTTCCTCGGTGCTCTTTCTGTGGGATCCCTCGTCCGAGGGAAGCTGGCAGCCATGTTGGGAGGATACTCAAGCAGCCGCAAGGGAGGCCTTGGGACTCACAGCCAGCAAGGAATGGAGGCCCCCTGCCGACAGCCAGAGGGCGAGCCACCTTGGAGACGGATCCTCCGGTCCCACTCAAACCTCTGAGAGACCCTGAGCCCAAAGCAGCCAGCTAAGCCACTCCTAAATCCCTGACTTAGAGAAACTGCATGCGGTAATAAATGTTTGTTTCCAGCCAGTAAGTTTGGGGGTAACGTGTTATGCAACAGTGGATGAGAAATACAATAAACGAGGAAGACAAGCACTATTAACACCCCCCCTTGGGGCTAAGTTAGAGGAGGCGGAGCCGGCAGGGACTCCAGGTGTGGCAGTTCTGGCACCTAGAGCTGTGATTTGGCCCCAGGCTGTCCACACCTGCAAGAGCTGCCTGTAAACTATCAAAACTGGATCCAAAGCACAGAGGGATCTGTCCTGGCCCGGCCCCCCCTCCCTGCCCCCAGGCTTCGATGCGCCCATCTGAAAAATGAGGAAGAGAGTAGAGACATAGCAAGAGAGAAAGGCGAGAACCACACACGGGGCACAAGCTGGCTGCCAGGGTCAACAGGCCTCCTTGTCTGGGAAGTTTTCGTGCTTTCGAATCTGACAGCAAACTCGCTGAGCACACAGAACCCCCACCACGGAAGTGCCTTATGGACAAAAACGCCACCCCCCTCAGGCATTTCCGCCACCCCATGTGAGGCAATGGCTCCAGCAGCTCCAACCCAAGCCACCATCCCTTCACCGTCCCTCAAAGGCCCCCCAAACCACCCCAAGCACGGGAAAAAGCTCACTTAATGCCATCGAGCCAGGTGACAAACTCATAGGCGCTGCTGGTGGGAGCGTGACACTGGACGTAGGACTCGGGAGCGCAGTCCACCGTGTTGAACACCACGAGGCTGTACTGGGTCCCCCCATACTGGGAGGGGAGGACAGAGGAACTCTGCATCTGGGACCCCAGCACTCTTTCCCTTCAGAGGAGTCGGGGGGGGCCCCCACCTCCCTCCTTCCTCTGACCCAGGAGTCCAGGCCCCCCCCCCCCCCCGACTCCTTCCTCCCTCAGACCCAGGGATCCTGGCACCCCAGCCCCTCCTCCCTCGGATTCAGGAATCCAGCCCCAGCCGTAGGCCCTCCTCCCCCAGACCCCGGAGTCCAGGCCCCAGGCCCTCCTCCCTCGGACCCGAGAGTCCTGGCCCCAGCCTCGGCCCCTCCTCCTTCGGACTCGGGAGTCCAGGTCCCAGCCCCTCCTACCTCAGGCCCAGGTGTCCAGGCCCCAGCCCCTCCTCCCTCGAACCCGGGAGTCCAGCCCCCAGCCCCTCCTCCCTCGGACCCGGGGGTCCAGGCCTCCAGCCCCTCCTCCCTCGGACCCGGGAGTCCAGGCCCCCAGTCCCACCTCCCTCGGACCCGGGAGTCCCAAGACTCACGTCTCCCCCGAAGTCCGTCTCGGCAGGAGGACCACCGTTAAAATACCTGCGGGGGTCGGCAGTGAAAGTCGGGGTCAGGCCAGAAGCGGTGGGAAACCCAAGGCAGAGGGCGGGGCTGGAGTCGCGGAAACGGCACTCACTCGATGGCCGGGAGCAGGTAGTGCTTGCGGAGCCCCTCGAAGTAGGGCCCCAGGTTGGCCGTCCCCTCGATCACAAACACCACGTCGGCCACTAGGCCCCCGGCGCGGGCCGGGCCCTCCGACCCGGGGACCATGCCCCGCGCCGCCGCTGCCGCTGCCGCCGCCACCGCCACAGCCACCGCGATAGGAGCGGAAGTGCGCCTGCGCTGCGCGCGCACCCGCGCCGGTCGGCTTCGCGCAGCCGCGGACGCGCCCGCGGCCATGGCTGTGCGGGGCGGCCATGTTTGTGCGGGGCACCCAGGGCCGGTGGGCCTATCTCCATCCTCGCTCGCGCCCACCGCGTGCAAGTCTCAGCAAGGGCGTAGCGAACCCCTTCGGGGGCCCGATGCGGAAGACTGAATAACCGGCACGACCGTCCAGAGCGAAATGTACCGAAAGCGGCACAGTCAGCCGCCATCTTTGAGCGGGGCGCCTATTCCGACTCTGGACTCAATGGAGGATCAGGAGACCTGGTTGCTATGCAACGCGTACGCTGCCCTTGTTTTCTACCAGAGAGATTAAGTTTCTGCTTCAGTTCTTTCCGGCGCTGGGTGGGATGGGGGAGGGTCGTGTGAAGGGTCCAATCACGTCGTCCGACACGCGGTTTCTAGGCAACGCTTTCAGGTTGCCCTCAACCCCGAAGGGAGCGCAGCTGTTTTTCTCCCGAAAAGAAGCCGAAATCCAATCCAAGTGGCTGTTGCTAGGCAACACCTGAGAGTTGTTTTCTGGGCGAGGGGCCAGCAAGTGGCCTCGAACATAAATACATTCCAGGCGGATTAAAAATGCCCGTGCAACAAATGAAACCGTAAAAATAGCCCAAGGAATAAAGAAACACGGTGTATCATCCTGAAAACTGGAAAAAAGAGTTTATCATCACGGGAAAGCCAGAAAACGTAAGATATTGATCGGTTTGTCCGCAAGACTCCAAACACGAAATTGAAAAAAAGACGATAAACTGGGAAAGTCATTGTAACGTGTGTTGAGAAAAGTGTACTACAGAGATACGTCTTACCGATCAATAAAAACTTGAGAAAATAGAAATACTTTATTTTATTTTTTTTGATAGGAAGGAATCTAAGCAGGCTTTTCCCACACACATACAAAATAAAGCCAGTAAATAAATACCTGAAAACTGCTCATCTTCGCCAATTAAAAAGTGCTAATAGGGGCCGGACGGTCAGTGTAGTGGTTAAGTTCGCCCCGATTCTGTGGCCCCGGGTTCGCGGGTTCAGATCCCCGGTGTGGACCTAAACACCGCTCATCAAGCCAGGCTGTGGCGGCCTCGCACATATAAAAGAGAGGAAGATGGGCACAGATGTTAGTTCAGGGCCAATCTTCCCTCACACACACACAAAAGTGCCAACGGAAAGTCCAATGATATAGTGTTTCACCTTTGTCATGTTAATTAATATTGGAAAGAGTAATGTCTACGAGGGTGGGAGGGTTTGGGTGAATGACCAGGCTCAGAAGAGGGGCTGGAAATCGGAACACTTGCTGCAATGCAGTTTGGCAATATATTTCAAGGGAAAAGAGTGCATTCTCTTTGCACAGACCGGTATTACCACATTTTCACGCTGACCTTCTGCATCCCTTTTTTCTTTTAGTTTCTTTGCCGAAGGCTTTTAAAGCAAATCCCCACCATCATATCACTTTCCCTTTACATGCTCGACAGGCATCTCTAGAAGGTATGGCCCTTTTCTTACATGACCACTACGCCATTATCGCTCCTGAAATGGTTATTTCTTATTATCGTCTGACACTAAATCCATAATCAGATTTCCTCAGTTCTCTCAAAACGTTTTTTTTTACAATTGCTTCATTTGCATCGAGATCCAAAGACCAAGCACATATTTAGACACGATTGCTCTTAAATTTCTTGTAATCTAAAGCAGCGCCCTCTTTTTTTTATACCAGTGTAATGAAATTTTTAATAAAACTGTAAGGGAGATAATAGTAAATTGGAGATAGAAAAAATGATCAACAGGTAAGAAGATGAAAATGGTCCCTAAAATAAAGATCTGCCTTATTAACTACAGGGAAACTTTTCTTTTTCTTTTTTTTTTAAAGATTTTACTTTTTCCCTTTTTCTCCCCAAAGGCCCCCGGTACATAGTTGTATATTTTAGCTGTGGGTGCTTCTAGTTGTGGCATGTGGGACGCTGCCTCAGCGTGGCCTGATGAGCGGTGCCATGTCCGCGCCCAGGATTCGAACTGGCAAAACCCTGGGCCACCAAAGCAAAGCGCGCGAACTTAACCACTCTGCCACGGGGCCGGCCCCAGAAACTTTTCTTTAGATAAGCTGAATGTATGATTGATTGTGTTAACTGGTTTTTAACTATTTTCATTACGGTACTACAAAGCCTCAAATAAACAATCAGATATGTTAGCCTGGCCGTTAGCCTCTGGCGTTAGGATGGGTTAGGTGTTAAAACACTGTTTCTGTGACATTGGTGGTTTCATAAGAGGTAGGAATAGTTTTCAAGACTTCCCCTCCCCCCAAAAAGAGAAAGAACCAGAAATTAACAAGAAAGAGGGGCTTGCAGTAGAAGTGTCAGCAGGGGACCTGGCGGCATTGGCATTACCGAGAGCCTGAAGGCAGCTGTGAATTGGAAAACCGAGTCTGGCTCTCCAGCTACACCAGGACTTTCCAGGACAGCCGAGCTAGCTCCAGGTTGCCAACACTCTTGGCTTCCCGGAGGAGTAGAGGTGAATCCTCCCACAGGACTCAGATCAATAGCAAATAATGAGTGCACAGTCAAAGGCCACCAGCACGGAGGCTACAACTGCAAGTCCACAGAAACAACACTTAGCAGGTGCAAACCCCCACCCCCAGGGCTCCGGGTATTGGAATTATCAGGTTCATAATGTACCATAATGTGCCAAATGGTGGGAGACATAAAGGACATTACGTAAGTTATCTCACACTGTGTAAGCAATACCCCAAAACTTAGTGGCTGAAAACAATAACAAGGGGTCTGGCCTGGTGGTGTAGCAGTTAAGTTTGCACGTTCCACTTCGGCGGCGTGGGGTTTGTGCGTTCGAATCCTGGGTGTGGACCTAGCACTGCTCATCAAGCCATGCTGTGGCAGCGTCCCACATACAAAATAGAGGAAGATTGGCAACAGATGTTAGCTCAGAGACAGTCTTCCTCACACACCCACACAAACATTGATTCCTTCACAGTTTCCGTAGATGAGGAATCCAGGCAGACTTAGCTGGGTCCTATGTGTCAGAGTCTTTCGCAAGTTCTAATCGGTGTCAGCCAGGGCCACAGTCATCTCAAGGCACAACTAGAGAAGGACCTGCTTCCGTGCTCACTCTCATAATTGTTAGCTGAACTCACTTCTTCACAGGCTGTTGGCCAGAGCTCATCCTTGGTTCCGTGACCTCTCTTTGCATAGGTCACAATGTGGCATTAGTTGCATCAGAGCAAGCAAGAGAAAGAATCCAAGCAAGATGGAAGTCACAGTCCCTATAACCGAATCTCAGAAGTGACCTTCCATCACTCTTGCTAAATCCTGTTGTTAAAGGCAAGTCTCAGGTCCCGTGCACACACAAGAGGAAAGGCAGCAAATACTAGAAGGCAGAGATCATTGGGAGCCATTTTAGAAGCATCCAACCACACACACAATCACAAGGAACAGCCAGCATCAAAAAATATGGAGAAAGAATAGGAGGATTTGGGGAAAAAAACAAGGCAATTTATCTAACTGCTAAAAAACCCGCCAACTCAATGGGTAATTGAAACAGAAGATTAAGCCAGCTGAAGAGTGAATTAGTGAAGTGGAAGATAAATTAGAAATTTCCCAGAGTACAATATTAAGAAAGAAAAATATATATTTAAACCTTGAAAAGGGATATGGCAGCTAAAAGGTCGGACATTTTTCTAATTTGAGACCAAAGAGGAAAAAAGAGAGTGGAGGAGAAGCAATATTTTAAGCGTTCATGGCTGTATATTTTCTGGAATTGACTAAAAAAAAAAAAATCCTTGGATCCTGGAAACACAAAGTATAAAATCATAAGAAAAAAAGAGTTGCTCCCCTTGACACATCATGATGAAAGAGAAGATTAAACAGTACCCAGAGGGAAAGAACAGCTCTCTACAAAGAAATTGTATGTAGAATGACAGCCAATTTCTTTCTCTTTTTTAAGTTTATTTATTTTTTAAAGATTTTATTTTTTCCTTTTTCTCCCCAAGGCCCCCTGGTACATAGTTGTATCTTCTTCGTTGTGGGTCCTTCTAGTTGTGGCATGTGGGACGCCGCCTCAGCGTGGTTTTTATGAGCAGTGCCGTGTCCGCACCCAGGATTCGAACCAACAAAACACTGGGCCGCCTGCAGAGGAGTGCGTGAACTTGACCACTGGGCCAGCCCCTCTTTTTTTTTTAAAGATTGGCACCTCAGCTAACAGGTGTTGCCAATCTTTTTTTTTTCCTTCTTCTCCCTGAAACCCCCCGTAGGTAGTTGTATATTCTACTTGTAGGTCCTTCTGGCTCTGCTATGTGGGATGACGCCACAGCATGGCGTGATGAGCGGTGCCATGTCTGCACCCAGGATCCGAACCTGTGAAACCCTGGGCCGCCGAAGCGGAGCACACGAACTTAACCAGAGGCTGGCCCCGACAGTTTACTTCTTAACAGCAAAAATGGAAACTGAAAGATAGTGGAATATGTTAAGAATTTTGAGAAAAATTAGTTTTGATGCCAGAACTCTATGGTATTGAAGGTGGGAGAAAAGACATTCTAGGTAGCCAAACCAGAATTTATCTCCAAGAGACTTTCTAAAGGATTGTGATATTGTGATATAATGAGAAATATATATTCAGTCTTTGTCCTGGTTCCTGGCACAGAGTTCCTAAAACCTCTGTAATTTTCTGAGTGATAAGGGTGGTAGGAGCATCTTTCGTTATAATATTTGGTCTTAGTCTCTGGTTGGTTCCTGACACAAGAGTTTATAAGACTCTCGGAATTTCTGGAGGGAAAAGGGTGTCTTTTTTTCCCCCTCTTTTTTGAGGAAGATCAGCCCTGAGCTAACATCTGCTGCCAATCCTGCTCTTTTTGCTGAGGAAGACTGGCCCTGAGCTAACATCCGTGCCCATCTTCCTCTACTTTCTATGTGGGACGCCTACCACAGCATGGCTTGCCAAGCAGTGCCATGTCGGCACCCGGGATCCGAACCGGCGAACCCCAGGCCACCGAAGCGGAATGTGCGCACTTAACCGCTGCATCACAGGGCCAGCCGCCATTTTTATCCTTTATAATATCCTTTAGAATAAACCAGTAATAGTAAGGAAAGTGTTTCCCTGGCTTCTGGGAGCCATTAAAGGAAATTATCGAACATGAGGAGGAGGCACACGGGAACCCCCAAAACTCAGAAGTGTGGGTAACCTGGGGCCCCATTGCTTGTGATTAGTATCTGAAGTGGGGACAGTCCTGTGGGACTGAGCCCCTAGCCTGTGGGGCCCACAAGGAACTCTGGGTGGTTAGTGTCACAAGTGAATTGACTTGTAAGTCACCCAGTTGATGTCCACAGAGAACTGGAGAATTGTTTGGTGTGGAAAACCCACACATCTGTTTTCAGAAGTGTTGTGAATAGAGAAACAGTTTTCCAGTAGGCTGTATTTCAGGAAGCAAGAAAATCAAAAATTATGCCGGAAGGAACGTCTGAGATGCAAGAAGTGCATTATGAACACTTATGTAATTACAAATAAATATTGCCTGCGTAAAGTGAGAACAATATTCAATGAGGGCATAAAGACAGTCAGAACTAAAATGCTGACAACATTAGTTGGTTAGGCTGGAGGGAGTTTCCAAAGTTAGGCTGTTACGTGCTTTTTGTGTTGTTTGAGAGAGGGTTTAAGATCTTGTTTAGCTTTTTGCTAAATTAAATGTGTATTGTAAAATTCCAAGGATAACCAACACAAATTAATTAGAATTAGAGTGTATAAATTTGAAATCAGAAGAGAGAGAGAAAACAAGATTGAGGAAACAAAAAAAGATAAGAAAGGAGGGAAAATAATATGAAAAAGGCAGGACAGAGCCAGCTGTGATGGCTTAGTGGTTAAAGTTCAGTGCACTCTGCTTCGGTGGCCTGGTTCGGTTCCTGGTCCCAGAACCACACCACTCGTCTGTCAGTGGCCGTGCTGTGGTGGCGGCTTGCATAGAAGAACTGAAAGGACCCACAACTAGAATGTACAACTATGTACTGGGGCTTTGGGGAGGGGAAAAGAAAAAAAGAGAGAGAGAGAGAGGAAGTTTGGCAACAGATCTTAGCTCAGGGTGAAGCTTTCCTAGCAAAAAGAAAAAAAAAAGCAAAGCAAAAGGAAACAGTCCCGAGATACAGTACCAAAAAAAGGAAGAACAACAAGAAAAATAAAAATAAGATGGCAGAAACAACCCCAAAGATATCAATAGTCATAGTAAATATGAATGGACTAGAGAAAAAATGCATGGAACTCAGGGAGAAATTGTATTTTTACTTCATTTGTTATTTTACGCATCTGTTTATTCCTCCAGAAGTTTCGTGTAATTTAATGTGCAGGGTAAATGCCTGTATATTTCTTAATCAGCATTAGGAATCAAATCCAGAATGCAGGCAAAACATGTTTTAAAAGAAATGAATGTTTTTTAAGATTACTATACATTTTTAAAATATGTTTGGATGAATAAAGGCAACTATTCAACAAAAGAGAAAACATCTAGCCAATTAAACTGATAATGAGATTCACTTCATCACTTCAACACAGGAAAGCACCTATGCGCGTCAAGACAGGATTGGCTAAGCCGATTTCGTTACATCCGTAATATAGACCATAAAAAGACATTTTAAAAGGACGAAGTATATTTACACGGGTGGAATAGAAAAAGAAAGTTTGAAAACGACATTAGCCTAGTGATCATATTTATGAAAACATGAATATTCTGTTAAACTGTCAACTTTTTACTTTTAGGGAAAGGATTTGTGGAGGACTCGCTTCATATTCTGCATGATTATACTATCATGTATAGATTCACTACAAAAATGACGTTGTTATGATTCTGGAAAATAAAGGACTTCATCTTTCCCTGATAACAAAAACAACCACCTCATTTCGTGGTTACTAGGCAACGCTCGCCGGACCAAACCATCGTGGAGGGTGAGGGGGGAGCTGGGGTTTGTCTGATGTCGCTCTAAGAAAGGGCGCTGGGCCATCTTTGAGCCGGGCAAAACTGTTTACGTTCTTAGACTGGAAATGAGACTGATTGGTGGTTGCTAGGCAACCCCTCAGCACGGTCGCCATCTTTGAGCGGGGCATAGTGTTTACCACTATAAAAGGGAAAGCGGGGTGGCAGTGGTTGCTAGGCAACGGCACGGCACCGTCGCCATCTTTGAGTGGGGCACAGCTGTTTATCAATTTAGAATGTAAAACATCCTGGCCTCCCTGATGGTTGCTAGGCAACGCCTTGGCGCGGTCAGTACCTTCAAGCCGGGCTCTTCATTCTCTTCCTTAAATAAATGGAAGCAAACCACTCCAGGGAGAGACAATGAAGCTCGGCCAATCCAATTGGCCGCCATCTTTGTTAGGGGCACAGTGACTTCCGGTTGGGGCGGAGGAGAGCCCAGAGGGCTTTGGGGGAGGTGCTAGAGGCTGGGTTTGCGTTGGATGAAGTAGGCGGGAATCTAGTCCTCTTCCAATCGGCTCCCCATTTCGCCCTCTGGCGGCTTCGGACGGCAGCCCGACTTAGTGTGACGACGGGCGCGCTCCAAGGCGGGCACTGGCCGTCGCCACGAGGGAACTGGGGAGGATTCCGAATGGGGGAGGAGGGGACGGAGGGCATCGTACATCTCATGTGCCTCGCGGCCTCCAGCGGGGTGCCCCTGTTCTGCAGAAGCAGCCGCGGCGGCGCCCCCGCCCGCCAGCAGGTGGGGCCCTGGACCCTTGGATCCCCGAAACAGAAGAGGGCTAGGCGCTGGGACTCTGGGTCTTCAGGGGACTGCCGGCTGGGCAAGGTTGAGAGATGAGTGTATAGGGCCGAGCGTGCAATGGACCAATAATCTTGGTTCCCCGACAAGGAGGGGTCAGGGGATCTAGAAGGAGGAGGGGGCCGGGGGCTTGGACACTTGAGTCCCAAGGAGGAGGGGATTGGGGGCTTCTGTCTAATGTCCCCCACCTTTCCCCAGCTCCCGTTCTCTGTCATCGGCTCCCTCAATGGAGTTCACATGTTTGGGCAGAATCTGGAGGTGCAGCTGAGCTCTGCGAGGACCGAGGACACGACCGTGGTGTGGAAAAGCTTCCACGACAGGTCACCAAGCGGTAGCTTGGGGCAGGGACAGGACCCGGGAGATAGCCCTTGTTGAAGATGCCACAAGGCCTTCCAGCTCTCCAAGGCCAGATGTTTGCTTGGCTGTGGCATCTCTGACAAGCCAGCTACCCTCTCTGATCCCCGAGTTTCTCTGCATGAGAAGCAAGTTGTGCTGGGGGAGGACGTAGCTGGCGTCCAGGATCAAGGGCAGACTCTACTGTCCTCATTGCCCTGTTTCCCGGGCCTGGACTCATTCTTCCTTCTCACCTTCTTTTCCCCCAGCATCACCCTCATTGTTCTGTCACCTGAAGAGGGCACCTCGGAGCTGAGACTGGAGCGACTACTCCAGATGGTGTTTGGGGCCATGGTGAGACTCCCAGCCCATTTTCCCAAACCCAGGAGTCTGAGCTCTCAGCATCCTTCTCCCTCAGCCCCAGGAGCCAGGCCCCTAACACCCGCCTCCTCCAAAACCCAGAATCCTGGCCCTCAGTCCCTCCTCCCTCCCACTCAGGAGTCCAGATCCCCAGCTGCCTCCTCCCTCCGTCTCAGTCGCAGCCTCTCCTCTCTTAGAACGAATCGTCCTGGGCCCCTAACTCTCTTTTATCATTTTTCTAGGTTCTTCTTGTGGGACTTGAAGAATTGACCAATATCCGCAACGTAGAGAGACTGAAGAAGGAGTTGAGGGTGAGGCTGTGGGACGTGGGGATGGGAAGTTAGGATACCTAGTCTTTTATTTGGGAACTACAGCTCCTAGCAGCCCCTGAGCCCGTGGGTTCTTGGGGCAGCTTGACCCTGGAGCTAGGCCCAGGGCCGATTTTCTGCGGGGGTGGCAGTAGATCTGGGACCCACCTGGGTCCTAGGCTCCCCTCTTCTCCTTCTGTTAGGCCAGTTACCGCCTCATCGACAGCTTCCTGGGGGACTCAGAGCTCATCGGGGACCTGACCCAGTGTGTGGACTGTGTGGTTCCTCCAGAGGGGTCTCTCCTGCAGGTATTGGGGGTGCCTTGGGAACTCTTAAACCTGTCCCTAGAGGCCTGGCTCGGTCCTCATCTTCCTACCCCTGGACCGTTGCCTCAACCCCTTCCCATCCTCTCGCCTTCCAGTCCGGCCCCTACTTGGCCCCAGAAGGATCTTTCTACACCCCGAGAGGACCCCGCCCCTTCCCTGGTCACAGCCCTCCAGTGGCTTCCATCGCCCCCTGGACAAGGCCCCAGCCCCTCAGCTTGGTGTTTGAGGACCTGTGGAATCTGACGCCCACCAACCTGCTCACCTTAACCTCTGCTAACCGCACGGACCACCTTCCCCTGCTGCCTCATGCCAGAAATCCCAACAGCTTCCCTGCCTTCGCACATGCTGTTCCTTTTGCCTGGGCAATCTCTGTCTACCCTTCCTTAAATACTGCTCTTGCTGATTCACCTGGCCCGGCGGCCTCCCAGCAGTGTGACTCTCAGCAGGTGACTTGACGTCTCTGAGCTTCAGTAGGTGGTTGATTGCACCTGCTTGGCACTTAGCAGGCCTCAATAAGCCGTACCTGCTGCAGGTAGAATTATGAGCTTCAGGAGCATGTGTCAGGTGTGGTAGCAGGACTGTACCTGTGTAATCTAGCTTCACAATGCGACTTGGGGACTGCAGCTGCACGTGAAGGCCCAGGAGGGTGACAGACACGATCATGGCCGCTAGGCAGGGAACCGTATGCTGGTCTCTTCCCACTCCTCGCCCACCCGCGGAGTCACTGCCGCCCGTGCGCCTCCCTTCCCCCAGGAAGCCCTCTCTGGGTTCGCTGAGGCCGCGGGCACGGCCTTCGTCAGCCTGGTCGTGTCGGGCCGGGTGGTGGCAGCAACAGAGAGCTGGTGGCGGCTGGGGATGCCGGAGGCCGTGCTGCTGCCCTGGCTGGTGGGCTCGCTGCCGCCGCAGGCCGCTCGCGACTACCCGGTGTACCTGCCGCACGGGAGCCCCACGGTGAGTGGGCGGGGCCGGGGCGCGAGAAGGGGTGGGGCCTGGAGGCGGGGCTTGCGGCGGGAAGGGGCGAGGCTCCGGCCAGCCCACCCTGCGCCCCGCTTCAGGTCCCGCACCGGCTTCTGACCCTGACGCTGCTGCCGGGCTTGGAGCTGTGTCTGCTCTGCGGGCCGCGCCCGCCCCTCGGCCAGCTGGATCCACAGGTGAATCCGGGCAGTGTCCCGCTTTCCCGTCACACCCTGTACCCGCGCGCCGGCTCTGCGGGGCTCTGTCCACCCTGGACCCGCCTTGGGCCAGCCCCGCCCCTCCCGTGGGCCCCGCCCCCCCTTGGACAGCGCTCCAGTCGCCTTGATCACAGCTCGGCCCCTTTCGCTCTTACCCCATCCTTCCGGGCCTCGCCTTTCCACGGTCAGCATCCTTCCAGGCCTCGTCCCTTCCTCGGTCCCCTCAGCCCTCCGCCCTGAGGGCCCCGCCCCTCCTCCCTGACCTCACCCACCGGCCCCGCCTCCCCCGCTGACCACGCCCCCTGCAGCTTCTGGAGCGCTGGTGGCTGCCGCTGCTGGACCCGCTGCGGGCCTGCCTGCCGCTGGGACCCCGAGCGCTGCCCGCGGGCTTCCCCCTGCACACGGACATCCTCGGGTAGGGCTCGGACGGGGCAGTGGGCTGGGGGTCCTCATCCCCTCTGCCCTGGCCATGAACCCCCTTTCCCACAGGCTGCTGCTCCTCCACCTGGAACTGAAACGTTGCCTCTTCACCGTGGAGCCCTCGGGGGATAAAGGTGACTGAGGAGGAGGGCGGGGCCGGGAGGGGCGCGGGCCAGGGAGGGGCTCTCCCTCACCCTGGCTCTCTTCCTCCTCCAGAGCCTTCTCCTGAGCAGCGCCGGCGCCTTCTCCGCTCTTTCTACACCCTGGTCACCGCCACGCACTTCCCAACAGGTCAGTGGTGGGCACAGTGCCCCCTTTGCAGAGGCTGGGACACTGAGCCCCAAGTCACATACGGCGGGAGTAAAGGGTGGGGCTGGGGAAACTGGTAGGAGAACCGGGCATGCATTGGGCACGGCTCTCCTTGAGGACTGGGCACCGACACTGAAGGAAGCAGGGCAGGGAGGCCCCAGCCTGGTTCCAGAACCTCCTAGGTAATCCTGATAGTTAACCCGAGACCTCAGCTCTTGCCAAGTGCTTTTCTACGTGATGACTCACTTCATCCTCACGGCTGAGAGCTGTTTCCTGTTCTATCATCATCCCCATATTACAGATGAGAAAACTGAGGCTCAGTTAAGCAGCAGCAGAGCCACGATTCAAACATGGGCAGCCTGGTTCCCACAGCCACACGCTGCGCTCCACTGCTCACAGTACAGGCTTTGCCTATCGTCCTCATTGTGGGGGGATCCACAGAGCCCAGGTTAGGAGGGAAAAGTTGTCGTAGAACCCTGGAGGCCCAGAGAGACAAAGGAAGGGACTTAGGGGGATGGTACAGCCCCAGTGAAGGCCCTGCGGAATGGAGCAAGATGGTAAAGAGCTCCACCTGGGAGGGGCAGACGACCGTCCCTTCCTGGCTGTGCGACCCCACCAGCCCCGCCTGCCTCCCCGTGTAAGTGGGCCGGGGTCCTCGGGATGGTGCCAGGAGCTCGGCCCTGGCGCCTGGGGAGCATCACCTGCGTGCCTGTGGTCTGTACTGCTAATCGGATTGCCCAGGGCTGCACACAGTACCCCCAAGAAAGCAGGGGACAAAGGCCAGGTGGGAAGAGGGGGAAAAAGCCCGTGGCCTTGTTCAGGTCACTGACAGCTGGCTGGAGCGGGCAAGCTTCCCCATCAGGAGTCAGAAACTTAAGCCCAGGATGGGTGTGGCTACTGCAGGTTGGCATCCCACTTGTCCAGGCCCCACTGGTCACCTCGGCCTTTCCTGTCCTTCCTTCAGAGCCAGGGCAGCCAGAGGAGAAGGCAGAGGACACAGCCCACCGGGCCCAGGTGCCGCGGGCCTGCTACCTGGTGTCGGGGCCCGAAGAGCCAGGCACAGGGTGGCGGCTGGTGGCCCTGCAGCTGGGGCCCCGGCGGCTGCTGCTGCTGCTGTCTTCTCAGAGTCCCACCCATGGGCTTCGGGTCCTGGCCACCCACACCCTGCACGCCCTCACCCCGCTCCTCTGACCACCGCTGTCAGCCATGGACATGGACGCCAAGCTGTTAGCGTCTCTCTCTTTATTCGCTCACAATAATACACAGCCCCTGGATGGGGAGGGGGTAGAGGGGCTACGAGGGGGCGCGTGGGAGGGGAGGAGGTGCCAGTCTCCCTGGCCCCTCTCCCCTCTGTGCTTGGGGGGGGAAAGGAGGGAGGGGGCCCCCCCTGACCCCCAGAATGTAAACAGCAGCAGATGAACAAAAATAAAAATACAAAAGGCCGGAGGAAGGTCCTAGGCATCCCCCCACCCCGGGGTCTTCCCTGTCACCACCAGCGGAGGTCCCCTTGCTGCCCCATCCACCAAAGCTGCCTCGGTCCCAGGGGCTGCCCGGCGCCAGCCACGGCCCCGGGGGCAGAGTCCAGGGCTCAGAACTGCTGGGCCAGCAGCTCACACAGATGACGGGAGACGGGCTCCTTGCTGGTGCGCAGGGTCAGCCGGTACATCTGGGGGGCGACATGGGGAGGAACTCAGGGAAGACGCGGAGGAGATGGAGAGCCCGGGGGGAGATAAAAGGTGAGAGGAAAGAAAAAGGACAAAGGGTAAGAAATGTGATAGAAGGGACAAGAGGCAAGAATAAAAGCAACAGAGGAGGTAAAGGATGAGAGAGACCAAGCATGGAACGGATACCGAGACAAACACCAGGGAGGAAAGGGGAGAGAGACTGGAGAATGGCCAGACAAGGACACAGAGCAGAGGAAGCCGATTAAAGAACCCACTGAGGCAGGAGGGGCGGGCGCAGAGAATGCGCACAGGCAGGGACGGACGGGGACACACACGTCCCCAGACCACCGCTCACCTGAGCCTGGGCGTTGGGCTCCAGCCGGAGCAGGCAGCCCACCTGCAGGGCTTTAGTCTGGATAATTCCAGCCCCCACGAAGTTCTCAGGATTGGGGTCCACGTTGTCGAGGAGAGCAGAGCCGAACCCCAGGAGCTGGGGAGGAAGAGGCAGGCACAGGAGGGTGCCAGATGGCTGCCAGCTCCCAGACAGCGGCAAACCAGGTCCCCAAACCCCTTGGGAGTAGGAACTGACGCCCCTTTACAGATGGAGAGAAGTGAGGCGGCCGCGGCTCTCCGATCCCAGTTAGAGAGGGGCACGGAGGGGATGCTGGCCCAGGGGCGCCTCCCCGGCCTCCCCCCGGCGCTCACCTTGGCCTTGGTAACTTCCGCGTCCATGGGGTGGTTGGCCTTGAAGATTTTCTGCGCCTCCTGTTGGGGGCTGGGGGCGGGGAAAGGCTCGAGTCAGGGACCTGGGAGCCCCGCCCCCCAGGTGAGGCTGCGGCCCCGCCCCCCGCCGCTCACAGGCTCAGCTGCTTCCAGCGCTGGAAGAAGTCCTGCGCCGCCATCTCTGTGGGCTGGAAGAACTTGTTGATGGTCACCGGCAGCTTCAGGGTGAGGGACTGCGGGGCGCCCCCGTACCTGGTGGGGGAGGAGGGAGCGCTCCGTCAGGCCCCGCCCTCCCAGGGGGCCCCGCCCCCGCGCCCCGCCCACTCACCGGAAGCGCACGGACAGGAGCGGGGGCGTCAAGAAGTCCCGCAGACACTCGATGTTGAGCACCTGCTGCACCTGTGCGCCGCCGTCCACCTGCGCGGCCACGCGCTTGGTCTGCACGGCCAGCTGTGCCCGCCGGGGTCAAGGAAGCAAGGAGGGGGCGGCCCTGGGGACTTTGGGCATGGACCCCCTGATGGTTCTGAACTTTCCCAGCAGCCCCAAGCTGCAGGACCCCGAGGGGCCGGCCCTGCCGTCCTGGACTCATCCTACAAGGCACCTTCCCCCACCCCGAAGTCCTTCCTATGTGACACCCCAAAGCCACCCCGTACGAGCCACTCTGGCATTCCCCGTGGGCTCAGCAACCTGCGCTACGGCACAGGGCACACCGTCCTCAAGCAGGAGCCCTCTGCTCTGGAGGCTGCCTTGGGTCCGCCCCCCAGCTCTTACCACCCCAGTGACTGGGGGCGAGTTACTCAGCCCCTCTCAGCCCCATGTGCAAAATGGACACGGTGTCCCCAGCATTCGATGAAATGAGCCACTACAAGGACCTGTCAGCGTATCTGGCACGTGGTAAGGGCACAAAAATGGTGGCAGTGTTGTCACCATCTACTTTCATGTCCACAACCCATCGGCAAGGATGGGGTCTTATGCATCTCCCCCACTCCCGCCCCCACCTTGTGCCCAGCACAGAGCTGAGCCTCCAGGAAGCCTCTGGAAGTGTCGATGATGAATAAAGCAAAGACCTGAAAAGGTCCTCCAAGTTTGGGGTCTAATCCTGTAACTTCACGGTGTGGAAATGAGGCCCAGAGATGGGGCAGAGGGGACGGACCCCACTCGAGCACTTCCTTCAGGCCAGCCCCCCGCCAGGGGTTTCCAGTTGTGCTGATTTTCAAAACAACCCGAGAAGGAAGAAGGTCTCCGCTTCACGGGGAGGACAGGAAGCCTCAGAGAGGCAAAATGAGTGGCCCTGGTCACACAGGAGAGGCCCTGGGCAGCAGAAAGACCTGCAGGCCTGGCTCTTACATACAGGAAGAGCTGGAAAGATGGGTGTGGAGCCCGACGGAGGATGAGGTCAGGACACGGAAGGGCCTGGAGCAGCTGGGGTCCCAGAAGGCAAGCCTTGTGTGCACCTATCATGTCACCTCACTGCCATCCCCTGTCCTGGGGGAAGGAGGCCCACCCCCGTCTCACAGACGACAGCACATCTCAGAGAGGTAACCATGCGCTCAGGTTCCCAAGAGGGCCACCCAGAGCTCTGGACCGGCTCCACCTGCTTCCCAGCAGCCAGAGGGGCAGACCGGAGGGGCGGGCTGGAGCCAGGGGGCCAGGCCAGGCCGAGAGGATATGAGTCTGGAGGTCTCCGGGGTGGACGACGGTGGGCGAGAAGTTCTGGAACTGTACGGAAGTCTTGTTGCCATAGAAGAGATACATGCGGCCTGTGGGAGGGAGGCGGGGCTCCATCTGGGTTCCTTCTACTTCCTCCCCAGCCACCCTCCAAGCCACGGTCTCCCTGAAGCCCAGGCCACCCGGACGCACCCAGGTTCTGCCGGAACTCCGACTTGACTCCTATCTGCAGCAGCTGGTTCTCAAACAGGACCCCGTTGTTCTTGCACACGAACCTGGGTGGGGCGGCGGGGGGCTCAGGATGACAGGGGGCCTGTCCGGGCCCTGCTCTGTGGTCCTCGCCTGTCCCCACTCCCCTCCCTGATCTCCCTCGGGACTCACTTATTCAGCAGTTCATCGGCTTCCGGGATGGGTGGGCCGATGTCCTCAGGACCTGGGCTGCAAGCAGGAAAGGAAGGAGATGGCTGGGGGCTTGGGGGGCTGGAGGCAAAGGGCCAGAGCTACTAGGTAGGAGACAGCAAGCTCTGAAGGGACAGAACCCCCGAGTCCACATCCCCAGGTTCCCCAAAGAACCTCAGAGAACCCCAGAATCAGACTGGCCCTTGCCTCTAAGGGGACCAGGCTCTGGATGTGCCGTCCCCTCCGTGCCCCCATCACAGGACCCTGACTTTCACTCCCCTCCATGTCCCTGCCTCTGCGGCTCAGCAGGAACCCCTTGACGAGAGTTCCCAGTCCCCTAACCCTCCCTAGGGACACGAGAGTCTGCCCCCCGCCCCCTGAGGCCACCCTTACTCAGCAGCTGGAGCTGGGTCAGCCAGCAAAGCCATGGGGCTCTCAGGGGCAGGCGGCTCCAGCTCGCTGGGCCATCCAATCCCAGAGCAGACAAGAGAAGACAGGCGTGGCAGGCAGCCAATCCCAGAGAGGCAGCAAGAGGGCCGGAGAGAGAGAAAGAGGGAGGAGGGAAGGAGAGAAGGAAGAGCAGGCTGAGACACGGTGACAGGAGAGGACGACGAAGCGGGGCCAGAGTGGCCAGAGGGAGGGAGAAGGCCAGGAGAGGTGGCAGCCAGGACGACAGAGGCACAGGGACAGGGAGGGAGGAGCGAGGTGGGCGGGGCAGACGGAAAAGGGGCGGTACCTGAGGAAGGCCTCCTCGGCGCTGGGCCCCAGGCCGGGCTGCGCGGCGGGGCCGTCGGAGAACACATCCACCAGGAGGTTGCCTGCGCCCGAGGGGGCCGGCGGGGCCGCAGGGGGAGGAGCTGCCCGCAGCCCCAGGAGGTCGGCGGATGGGGAGGGTGTCGACTGCAGGAGGCAGGTGACAATGAGGACAGGTGATCCCCGGCCGCCCCGCCCCGGGGGGCCTGGCCCCGGGGGACTCACCACGGTGCTGGGGGTGGGCTCCACACCCCCGTTGATGTCGTTGCTGCTGGGGTCCCTCCGGCCGTCATCCAGGGCGCTGCCGGCCCCCGGCCCCTTCTTGCGTTTCAGCTTGGCCAGGATGGACGACTCGCGCTCGGGGAAGGGCGGCATCTCCTCCAGCACCGTGGCCTGCAGGTCGGGGGCGGCAGCGGATCAGGGGCGGGCTGCGGCTCCGGAGAGCAAGGCTGCGGGCGCAGGAGGGGCGCGAGGCGGCTCTGACCAGGACGTCCGTGCTGGCCACGGAGCTGAGGGTGAGGTACTCGACGGCGCGCTGCTGCAGCTCCACGTCGGCGTTGCGCAGCTGGGAGCCGGCCCGCAGCACGCCCTGGATGGTGGCCTTGGTCTCGGGGAAGAGGTTGATGAACTTGATGTAGGTGGACAGCAGCAGGGCCCGCGTGGCCACGCTGCACAGGTGGAACTTGGAGTGCAGCAGCGAGAACTGCACCGGGGGGCTGTGGGGCGCGGGTGTCAGCGGGGCCGGCTACAGCGGCCCTCCCCCAGCAAGCCCCCCACGATGCCGCTCCCTGGGGGAACCCTGCCCAGGACCCTGGGCCCGCTCGAGGGCACTGCTGTTCCCCAGGGCCCCAACCGTCACATGCCCCGTCTCAGATGTTCCTGACAGCTGGGCCCTCCTGACCCCCCAGGGGTTTGGTGTGAGGGCCCCATCGTCACCAGCCTGGAGACTCCTGGGGTCCCCCACCCCCAAGCCTTCAGAAGTGCGTGTGTTCACCGTCTCACCTGGAGCGGGGGTCCCCAGCAATCAGGTTCCCAAACTCCCCAAGGATATAGCCGCCAACCTTCACCATGTTCTCATGACAGGCGGGGGCCTGGAGCGCCTGGGGCAGGGACGGGACGGGCGAGGACAAGAGTGAGTGGTGCCGCCCGGCTCAGGGGTGCTCAGGGGCACCAGGCCAGTGCTGAGCCCTTGACTTGTCTTAACTTGTGGAACCCTCACGACTCTATGACATGGGT